AAAATTAATGCCCAAAATTCATCTTCTCTCTTCCTGGCGACTGCAACAATAGCGAGTGGCGGCTGCTTGAAATCTGTAAATTTCGACGGAGCCAGCACGGGCAGCCGCGCCACCTTGTCGGGTACTCGCTCTGCCACTGGTCACAAATGTAAATTTGTATAGCGGTAGAAGATCATTTCAGGCCCTACCATCACTCATATTAATTCTATACGTCCACATGGACAAAAAAATCTATGTGGACGAATGAAAAGCCTACATAGCGATTAAAAAGTCCACATGAACAAATGAAATTGGTATAAGTGATGGATGTGTAATATTCTTTAAATATAGATGAGCATTTAGTAACTTTAAAAAAAAAAAAAAAATGTGATGAACAAGTAGTAGCCTAAGATGAAGTTCAATGAACATCGATTTAATTAACTCGATTTTAAATAGTCATCTTTTTTCATTTTTTGAATTTGTTTGATTTACACACAACAACAACAACAACAACAATAATAATAATTTTGGTGGTTCGAGTGTCGAGGGGTAAAAAGGGCAGTGGTAGATGAAAGGATTCTCATTGTTCAAGCACATGTCTTTTACTCGTTAGAGGGGAAGTGAAATTCAAAGGCTCGTCTACTGTGTAACAGTCAAATAATATCTAAAAATGAATGGCTGCCAAAACACAGGCTCAATCATGAATAGCAATTGATCGAGACTTTTGCATGTTTTGCATCACCATGAACGGTAGGACCAAGACTTCAATAATTACTACGGCCTTGGTTGTGCTTTATTTTAATTTTAATGCATTTTTCTTGTTCATTTTTTTTTACCATGCATTTTTTAATAAAATAATATTATCCTTAATTTCAAAAAAAAAAAAAATCTTCTTTTCTAACTACATATTCTTCTCAAAAAAAAAATCACTATTCCTCATATTAGTTTGTTTTCCACAAAACAGCAATCTTGACACTTTTAAGTGATAAGAAAACAGATAATCTCTGTTTGATTTCTTAGAAGTCCTCAGGTAATTTCTGCTTTGTTTCCTTCCTTCCTTGACAGATTGGAAAGCTAATATATCAGTATATTAATTGGAGGAAAGTGTGAAATAGTCAAAATTTGAGCGTTTTGCCAGAATTAATTAAATGAATGATTGGACTTTATTTTAGCTCACTACTCATCCATCTTTAGAAAACGTTACCTATCATCACTCATATTAATTCTATCCGTCCACATAGACAAAAAAAAAATCTATGTGGACGAACGAAAATCCTACATGGTATTGACGAAGTCCAAGTGGACGAATGAAATTGGGATGAGCGATGGATGTGTAATATTTTTTAAATGCGGATGAACATTTAGTAACTATTTTTTTTTTTTTCAAATTTAGGTCAACAAGTTGTAACCTAAGATAAAGTTCAATGAGCATTGATTTAATCAACTAGATTTTAAATCGTTATCTTTTTTAAAATTTTTGAATTTATTTGATTTAATAATAATAATTTGTAAAATTTTAACCCCTTTCTATTAAATTTAATAGTATTATTTTATTGAGTTAATTTTGTATTTATAATGTTGCTAATTGCTTAATCAATTCTATTTTTTTCACACTTGATATTTTAAAGCCTTCATTTTATATTGC